GGGACCTTTCAGTCCGCTGGCCGACACTCTATCCACTGAGCCAAACTGGTCAGGGCTGAAATTAGTCTTAATAATATATTTTATGTAACCCAGTATATCCCAAATATTATAATCTCAACATGGAATCAATAAATTATTAATGAGATGTTGCATTTTCACTTTTGTACTAAGTCTTCAAAATCCAGTGTATTAATTTTTCATTGTTGTGAAGTTATCACAAACTTAGCAACTTAAAGCAATACACATTTATTCTCTCACAGTTTCCATAGGTCAGAAGTCTGTGCACAGCATGGCTGGATTCTCTACCCAGGGTCTCACTTGGTTGAAGTCAAGATATCAGCCAGGGCTATGGTTTTCATCTGGGGCTTGGGGTTCTCTTTCAAGCGCACAGATTACAGGCAGAATTCATTTCCTTGTGGTTGTAGGACTGAGGTCCCCTTTTCCTTCTGGCTGTCTGCGGGGGATCCCTCTCAGTTGATAGAGGCTACATGTGGTTCCTTCACATGTGGCCCCATAGGCAGTTCACAACATGGATGTTTGCTTTCTTCCAAGCAAACCAGAGTGCTGACTTCCTCTTCTGTGACCAGCCAGAGAAAATGCTCTGCTTTTAAAGGACTCACCAGCTTAGGCCAGGCCCACCCATGACAATCTCCCTTTTGCCATACGACACACATTCACAGGTTGTACCTACACTCAAAGAGGAGGAGATTATACAGGGACAAGGGTCACTGGCAATCATTTAGAATTCTGCCCACTACATCCACCTACAGTGAATCTCAATTGGACTAATCACATTCTACGTGCTCGGTGGCCACATGTGGCTAGTGGCTACCATCTTGGATAGTGCAGCTCTAGGCTTTATCACTTCAGTTCTTCCCTCAAAATTAGAAAGAACAGGAGACACTTAGTGCTCATCTTAGCCCATTCCCTTATTTTCCCAACAAGGAAACTGAGGCAGATCTGCAGAGAAGCAGGTCTCCCATTTCCTGCCCTAGTACTCTGTCTGCAGCCTTCAATCCCCCCAAAAGTCAGGGGGTTTCCCCCTGGAGTTGGAGAGGTTGTTTCCAGAAAGATATCAGACAGACTGGGGGAGCCTTACATTTCTTATCTGTGAGGTTGGAATAATAATAGCAAATACCCCACAGATATATTTTCAGCTTAAATGAGACCTATAGAATACTTAGCCCAATATAAATGTTGGTCATTATTATTAATAACAATTAATATTTGTAAAGTAGGGATCCTTTCTTGTATCCAGGTCTAATCTCCGGCACCCTCTCCCCAACCAGGCATACAGTAGATGCTCAATAAATGCTTGCAGATTACACAAACTCTTGGTCAGCGTTCTCCCTTACCCTCACAACCCACTCGGAGGTGAGGTGGGAATCGGGAACCTCTGGGCAGGTGAGGAGACTGAACTTCAAGGGGCAAAGGATCTGTTCCCGGCTTCAGAGCCAGCAGGGGAAGTGCAGGTCTTCCGCGGGCCTGGGGTTCACAGGGGGTGAGGCCACTTTCTCCAACTCCCAGTGCAGACCCCCTGGGCAGCCTCCCAGTGCAGAGGAGGTGAGTTCTTATCTCAAGTCCACAAGTCCTAGCTAAGTGCCCTGAGCAGGTGACAGGGGCTCCTCCTGTCCCTGTTAAGTCTGTATCAGCAGCACCTTGGACAAGTCACCGTGGGCAGAGTGGCTGGCGCATCATTTGGGGAGCTGTGGTTACTGTTGCTCTTAGGAGGGACCCGGGCCCTAAATGACTGCTCCTCCCCTGGTCTCTGAGTTGGGAGGATGTCCCAGCCGCAGGGCCCAGTCCCCAGACACCCTCACACCCCCGGACCGAGTCAGGAATAGAAACCACCGCCTCCGCCGCCCGCGGCCTCCCTCCTTCCCCGGCAGCGATCGATGCGGCCTCAGCCGCGGGGGACGGAGGAAGACAGGGAAGGAGGGGGCAGCGGGACCTCCACAGCAGCGAGGCTCC